CCTTTGCAGCACGGTCGGCCTCCCAGTTGCCGCGCCTGTCGCGGGCCGTGATGTCTCCTTTCTGAACCATGGCCGCAGAGGCATGCGCCTTCACCTTCTGAATCGTGAGCCCCTGGGGCCCAATGCCGCCGAAGTCGTCAAGCGCCGCCCAGACTCGCCTCCAGATGCACCCCCAGGCAGAAGTCGCCTTGGTGGTGCTGGCTTCGCCCCTCGCCGTCAAGCCCTTTGTCACATACGCGGCGTCGAAGGCCGCGGTGATCGGGGGCAGGCTGTGGCGGAGGAGCACCAGACACCCCAAGAGCTCGGCCCCGTCGATGGACTGCAACGGCCCAGGCAAGGGAGTGCCTAGCGCCTTAACGGCCGACTCAGGTCCAGGGTCCCAGTCGACACCGCCGTCGGGCAGCTGCACCATTCCGCAAGCCCCCACCGCCAGCGATGTCCCAGCGTCGTAGACCGCTCCGTCGGAGTAGACCGTGGTGTTGGAAAACGGGAAGCCGTCGCCGCCCTTGAGCCACTGCACGTGCGCGAGGAGGTCGTCTCCAGGCGGGCGCCACTCGTGTAGGGGCTCGGGCAGGACCAGCCTCTCCAGGAGCGTAGTGATGGTCACGCTGGTGCTGAAGGGGACGAGCTTGCTGATCTCGGCTGGCAGCGTCAAACTCGGCCAGCTGTCCTGGCAGGCGGTGTGCCTGTGCCAGAGAGTGCCAGGCTGCTCTGGGTGCAGCTGGCAATACGGCGTGTGCGAGAGCCGCGGAGCACCGTGGTACCTCCTGCTGTTCGGCCACTGCCCGAGGACGAAGACCGAACGCGCGTATCCTCGCTGGCTGCAGTTGAGAGGCTCCCAGCCTTTGGCCAGGCTGGAGCTTCCAACACCCTTGGCAAACCACCGCCGCATCTGCGAGACGAAGATGCCACTGCGAACATCAGCGTGCGTGCCGTCTGCCAAGAGTTTCATCTGCCACGCCTTCACGTCCATCGTGATGCACTGCTTGGCATACCACGGGGAGACCTCCAGTAGGTTGATGATCGTACCATTCGGCCTGACGATGCAATCGAGCGCCCTGGGGTCGTAGCCGATCCTCCTCAGGGACATGACCACTGCGCCAAGCGGCCCGCGTACGTCTGCCCAGCAAGTAGTCGACCTCGCTGCCCACTCGAAAGCGGGCATGAGCTGCGCCAACGGCACCCACTTCTCCCACACAGCGCGCGCCAGCGTGAAGCAGGGTGCCAGCGTAGCTGCAAAGAGAGGGTCGATGGTGGGAGAGCCCCCCACCAGCAAGCACGCCGTGAGCGACTTCCCATGGGGATTCGGCTCAATGGCGTGCCGCACAATGCTACGCGCCTGCTGCAGCTCCGTATTGTTGAGCCCCGTGCAGTTGATCCCGTAGAAGAGACTGGGAGCCAGCCCAGTCGATACGATCTTAGCCGCTGTGGCCCTTCCTCTGCGTAGACCCAAGAGCCGTCGGATCCGAGGAAGGCGGAGTCTGTTCTGCGTGATGCGGTGCCGCCTGACGACGCTGGACCGCCTGCCGCCCTCAGTGTAGTCGATGCCGAGGTTGCGCACTTCTCTGACACCGATGGCCCCAGTGGTCGAGCCCAGGTGCCTCTGGAGAGTGGCCCTAAGGCCTCTGCTGCTGGCCAGCACGCGCGACTTCTTGGCGGCAATGGACAGGTGAACCTTCGCCAACCCCTTCGCCACTGCCTTCGCGGCCATGGTGAGGTCCTTGGCCACTCGCTTCAGGCCACCCCAGCGCTGCAGCACCACGTCGTCGACCACGACCGCAGGTACCACCGTGGGGCAGGCCGCCTTCATCTCGTCGAGCGGCGTCAGAAGCATGACCTTCATGAACGTGGTGGCAAATGCATCCCCAGCCAACACCGTCTGCGTTACCACAAGCTCGTCAGAGCAGCACGACTCCAGGCTGATGACCCTGGGGAGCCGATAGAGGGAGATCTGCAGCTTGGCCAGCCACAGCGGGAAATCGCGCTGCCTGCACGCCTTCTGCAGGTTGCCGTGCAGGATCTGCTCGAAAGCCTTCCACAGGTCCATCATGACTGACGCCGAGGCCCAGTCCTGGCCTCTGTTCAGTTCGCCCATCATCTGGACCCATTCTGCCCGCGCCTGCTGCTGCCACACAGCCCTGTCGCAGCTCTTGCCTGAGCTGGCCCACCAGTAGTCTCTGTCGTGCGCCGCCTCCCAGTCCTTCGCGATGCGCCTGCGGAGCCTGCCGTGTATGCGTACCACCGCCCCCAGTAGCGCAATTGGGCGGAGTCCCCCGTCCGACTTGGGGATGAAGGCCATCTTGGCGATGAACGCGGGCCAGTCGCACTGCAGCTCGATGGCGACCAGCAGGTCGATGAGCGCCTCGATCCCAGCGTCGTCGAGCACACCCAGCTCGTGCGGCCGCAGCGCGTCGAACGATGAGCCGCTGGAGTCCCTGAAAGTGGCGATGACTTCCCTGATCTCGCTCACCGTTGGTCGGGCAGGTCGCTCACCAAGATCGTGTGGCCACTCGAGCGGCTCCAGTGCGAGCCCACTCCCCAGCGGCGTGGGGGGCCCTACTCCCCAGTACCCTGACCACTCCTTCACCAGGGCTTGGACTGTCTGGGAAAGCGTACGAGGCTCGCTCCCTGGGCCGCCAGTGATCCTGGCTTGCCAGCCCTGCGGAGGTTTGGTCCAGGAGTGGAGGGCCCCCGTTCCTCGAGCGTGGTTCTCGGCGACCCAGTCCGCGAAGCAGGCCTTCGCCTTGTCCGCGTCCCGCTGCACCAGCTTGTCCGCCATGGTGGCGGCGATGAAGCTCGCTACCTGCAGCTGGGGCAGATCCATGGACTGCGCCGCCTGCGCAAAGCCCAGCAAGGTGACGTGGGCCTGCGTCGTCTCCTGCCTGGTGTCGGACTCGAAGTCAGGCTGCGCACTGCACAAGCGATCGAGCGCCTTCAGCGCCGTGTGCCTCTTCAGCTCGAGGTCAGTCTGAGCGGCATCCTTGAGCGCGATGGCCACGCTCTTGCACCACGACGTGGTGGCGGCCACCCTTGGCAGCCTGGGCGCCGTTGGTTTCAGCACTTTGACCAGTGCCAGCCAGGGGCGCCGCTCTCGTCCAGCGAACTCGTAGTACGCGTGCTTGAGGCCAATGGCATCCAGCAAGTACCGCTCCGCGCAATGGATGAAGATCTGCCACATGTCGTCCAGCGAGGGTGACACCGCCATACGGCCGCGCGCCTCCGCCCACCTCTGGGAGTGGTCCTCGGTGCAGCACGCCTTGGGTAAAGGGTACGGGAACTTCTTCGGCACCTTCATGACCTGCATGTACCTGTTGACAGAGCTGGCGTTGAACTTGAGCTCAACAGGGAAGTGGGGCGCAATGTCCCATCCAAGCTTGATCTCTGCACGAGCTTCGGAGATCACGTGAGAGATGACGAAGTAGTCGATCACTCTGCCAGACGGCCTGATGGTGCCGTCCGTTGGTGATACCACTCTGCCTCCGACGCGCTCAAGGAAGCCTGAGCACTGCAGCTCGTGAGGCTCCATATTGAAGTCCCCCGCGATCACGAAGGGCTTGCCGATGGCCCGAATCGCCATCGCGATGCCGTCGAGGATGCCGAGGTTGTAGGCCGAGAGGCCTTCGCCAACCTTCAAGTAGACGTTGATCCATGCCAGGCCCCCAGGAAAGGGACCCGCCACATGCGCGACTGCCGCGCGGCCTGGCGTGAGCACTGTCGGCTGCCCCGCCTCGAACTCGCCAAGGCCCGAAGACCTCGGAGCCAACTGCAGGAGACCACCGTGCCCTGCGTGTCCCGCAAAGACGTCGGTAGCAGGGGTGGCCACCGCATGCCATCCCAGCCTCTGCAGCTTGTCGGTGACCTCGTAGCACCTCTCCTGGGACAGGTGCGTCTCCTGGACTGCGATGAGGTCGCAGCTCCTGAGACTCTCGTAGCCGAGGATGCTCTCAAACCTGCTATAAGCGTTGGCGTTGATGGAGAGAGCTGTCCACCATCGCCCGCTAGGGTAGCTACCCTGAGGTCCGCGGCTTCTTGACAGAACGCAGGACCTCCAGGGCATCGCGGATCCTCTTGCGCTGCTCGTCGTCGTCGCCGCAGCCGCCAAGAAGCCCCCCAGGATCTTCTTCGCCCAGGAAGTCGTCGAAGTCGACGCCGCCCTCGGCAGGCGTCGCCCCCGCCGCTGGCGCCCCTGCGGCCCCTGCTCCGCCAGGCTGAGCTGCAGCTGGCTCGGGGCCAGGCGCTGCTCCACCTGCAGCAGCGGGCGCCCCTCCCTGCGGGCGAGCTGCCTTCGCCTCCTCAGCGAGCTCGTTGACCATCTTGGACAGCTGCTCGAGGAGGTCCTGGCCTGAGACCCTGTCGGTGTTGAGCGAGCCGAGCTTCTCCTTGATTGCATCAGGGCTGATGCCTCCGCCGTAGAGCGCGGCTGCCTCACGCTTGGCCTCCGCGAGCTCTTGCTGCAGCTGCGCGATGATCTCCTTGGAGGCGTGCACCTGCTCCAGCGCCTTGCGAGCCACCTCAGTTTCACGCTTAAGCCGATCCTGAGCGTCTGCAAGCTGTCGAGCCAGCCCGTCCACCTTCTGGGGCGCCGACTTCCCCACCAGGCCGAGAGCATGGGCACGGCGAGCAGCATCCACCTTACCCCGCGAGGACTGCGTGAGGGTGTGCTTTGTCGCGTCCCACGTCTCCTGCGTGAAGGTGGCCCAGACCTTGACCTCCTCCGCACTGAGGGTGGTGCCAGAGGGACTCTTGTCTCCGCCAGCACTCTTGCCCTTGAAGAGCTTGCCGTTGTGCCCCCACTGGTTGCTCGGCGGCGCGTCGGCCCACTTGCCCCGAGACGGAGGCTGACGGAGCTGCCACGGCTGGTGCCAGGGCTGCCCTGCTCCGCGAGGGAAGCGAGGTCGCATTCCTCCGCACCCCGCCTTCGAGCACCGAGCGCGGTCGGCGGCGTGGTACTCACCACAAACGCACTGCCACTGGGGTGCCATGGCCGAGACACACTCAGTGTTATAAGTGCCAAAACGAGGGGAGCCGCGCGCGCCGCTGAAGGTCGAGCTCGGGAAACAGAGCTATCCCGTGTTTGCCAGGAGGCTTGCAGCCCCCCAAGCATTGGGTCTTGAGCCAAAATGGCTACGGAACACATGTATTCCTGGAGAGGGCAAATCTATAGGAATAGACGTAAAAGCACACGTATTCATGCCCCTGGAGAGAGCCTCTCTATAGGTAACGAGAGGGCCCATCTATAGGAACAGACGCAAAAACACACAGATACGTACCCTCGATATATGTATCGCAAAAGAAATTCCCCGGCCCACCTCAAGTCAAACCTGGAGGTAAACCAACTAAAAAAGAACCCTGGGCTTATGCCCTTTCCGGGAAAAAAACTGTCTCACCATCTTCGCCCCGTCCACATACGAAACGAGGGCCACCTGCGACTCCTCGGCCCTTTGGACAAGCGGGCCCTCATCGTCTGATGAGGTCGCAATATCGCGGGCCAGGGTTACGCTGTGTTCGGCGTGGGGGTCGCCTAGAGGTCTTCGCGTACTGCAACGTGCTGACAGGTCCCAATCGCGTCTGGCAAAGACGTCCTCGTCGTCCCCGTCCGCGCAGGAGCTCGGTGGTATTGCTCCCACTTCTGGAAAGTAGGCATGCCAACCGAATGCGCTGCTCCTTCTTCACGATGCCCCCACGCTTCGCCGCGACGCAGGTTCTAGAGGTGCTGGCGAGGACTCCACTATTCCAGAAGTAGGAATGACATGCCCGATGTTCCGCAGATCCCCCGTCCAGCTGCATCAGGAAATCGGCGGCCATGCATGGTAGGTAGCTGCCACTTGGCATCGCATCCCATGGGTGCTGCGCTGGGGGCCATGATCTGGGCACTCGCGTAGGTCAGCGTGATGGGTCATCCTCGTCAACTGGCGCTCTTGCTTTGCGTGGCTGGGGTCGGGATGCTGGTCACGAAGATGGCGGTGCACTTGGATGCGGCGTTTTATCTTCTGCTGCAATCTCATGGTCCATGGACGCCCCCCCGACTCCATGCAACTGTTCGGCACCCAGCTGTTCCAGAGGAGGTGGCGCAGCTTGATTGTCGCAAGCGCGACACAATTCCACATCCGAGTATGTCTGTTGGGGCCGTGCTCCCACGATTCAATGATTGATAAAATAATGCCAGTAGCAATCGTAGTCTCAAGACATATGATTAAAAATCCGCCGACCCTGTCGGCGTGTGTGGGGTGTCTGTCTGGTCCCGTCGACGGGACGCCTTTTCTGTTTATCCTTCCCCGTCGGGGGTGAAAGCGCACTCTCCCGTCGTCGGGGGGTGGAGTCCGGGTATTGAGGGATATCGACCCACGACGTAGTCACGTCAAAGGGAAGCCCCTTCCCGTTGTCCCTTCCCTGGCGGGGGGGGTCCCGGGGGGGGTGGTCAGATTCGCATCCCCCGTTTGCGGTTTTTACAGAAGGGCCCTCTGTAGATGCGCTGAAGGGAGGGGGGTCGCCACGAAGGATCCGCAAGAGCGCCCCTAGACGGCCCAAGCCCCACAAGAGAGCCCAAGAACGCCTAAGGACGGCCGAAGGGGGGCCCCAGACGGCCAAAGGACGCCGCCCAGGTACGTTTCCCCCTCGAGCGCCCCCGAAACCATGAAAAGCTTTTTCCAAAAGACCCCAGAATGCCACGACGCCTCCTCCTCCTCCTCCTCCTCCTCCTCCTCCTCCTCCTCATCCTCCTCCTCCATTCCTTGTCCTTTCTAGACAACTTCTTCCTGTCGCACCCCAAGCCCTGTTTTTAGGGCGGGCCGGGCGTTTCGCCTGAACGCTCCTCGCCACGTACGACTCTGAAGCAGAACTGACAGCAAGTTCACACATGGAGGGCGGATGGTTTTCCAAATGTGGCGCTCGCCGGAGCGCGGCGCACATCCGTTCTAAAACACTGCGAGAGCTTCACGGACTGAGGGCGGGTCGTCTTCAGAGTGCACCTCTCGCCGTAGCACGGCGCACAGTCGTCTAACAAAAATTGCAAGAGCTTGACGGATTGAGGGCTAGTGGTTTTCAGCATGTAGCTCTCGTTTTAGCGCGGCGCACACTTGTTTTAAAAGTGTCCCAGATCTTCACGGATCGAGGGCGAGTGGTTTTCAGAATGTGGCTCTCGCCTGAGCGCGGCGCACATGTGTTTTAAACATGTGCAAGAGCTTCACGGATTGAGGGCGGGTGGTTTTCACAATGTGGTTCTCGCCTGAGCGTGGCGCACATTCGTTTTACAAAATGTGCAAGACTTTCACGGACCGAGGGCGGGTCGTTTTCAAAATGTGGCTCTCGCCTTAGCGCGGCGCACACTCATTTGACCCATCACGCATTGAGGGCGGCTCCTTTTCAAGATGTGGCTTTCGCCTTAGCGCCGCGCACATTCGTTTTACACATGTGAAAGGGTTTCACCGATTCCCCTCATCAGCGTACCAGATGTGGCGCTTTGGAAGAATTCAGGACGATGCGGCTGCAACACTTACGTTG